TCTGTTGCATCTAACGACCACGGCTGGAGCCCGGCCGCTTCTGCCCATTTCTGCAGCCGCGCAAGGACTCGCAGGTGGGATCGCACCGTCGCCGCCACCGAAGCCCTCCTGACCACTACAGGCCGCAAGAGAGCCGATTGATCCTCCCAGCTGAGGCCTTTGAGGGCCCATCCCCGGAGTCTCGGCGATGCGTCCCCGATGTGGCCGGCGAGATCGAGCACTAAACCGACCTGGCTGCACAGCGCAGCAGCTTCCCGGTCTTGGCAGTTTTGTTCCACCTTTTCGGATTTGTGCCTCTTCCTCCCCGGATAGAAGGCCACCGACGGTAACTTTCCAGAGCTGGTCGTGGGCACCGCTGGTGCTTCCTGGGGGTCGCAAAGGACTCGTTCTCCTCCAGCCAACTCCGCACGAGCATGCCCCCTGACGGCTGCCGAAGCATTCCGATCTATCCGTGCATAGAATTCCCTGGCCACTGACGGGCTACAACGGGCTTCACCGCCCAACTCTGCGACAGCGTCGTCGGGTGAATCGAACCAGCTATGCACTCTGAGAATCGAACACAAGTTCTTCGCCACCAAATATCGTTCTAGATCCCCCGTTTCTGGTACCCCTGTGGGCATACATGCTTGCAGATTCGGCGACAAGACGGGCGCGAGCTCAGACATTGCTTGTCCTTCCGGCCTTACCGCCGAAAGTCCTTGAGCCAAACGCGCCCTTTTGCCTCTGAGCCGAAACCCTCCGGAAGGCGGAAGGCGGCCTCACTGAGAGTCTTGGGGAAGCTCAACATATTGCGCTGTTCTTACGCGGCCCCTCCCCGACTCCTCATTCGGCGCCTCACTCAAATCCGCAACTGCAGGGCTTACGCCTTACGCAGCAATCGGAGGTACGATGAGAAATGTGGACGCCACCGGCCCTGCCTACCACAAGCCTCCATGCAATTTTCGTCGTGGTTCGTGGTTCGTGGTGGTTCGTCCCCCTCGGGTCCTCCCCTGCGCCGGAGCCCCAGCTCCCCTGGGCCACTCCCCCTTGGGACCCTCATCCGTCCAGGCTTCCCAGTGCAGCCCCTGGGCCGCGGAACCCTCTATTTTCGTCGTGGCTCGTGGTGGTTCGTCCCCCGCGGCCCCCCCCTGAGCCTGAGCCCCAGCTCCTCTTGGGCTCCCCCCCCCCGCTGGGAGCCTTCCTCCGCCCAGGCTTCCCAGCTCCCCTGGCCGTCCAGGCTTCCCATGGCAGCCCCCCCCTGGGCCGCGGAATCCTTTATTTTCGTCGCGGCTCGTGGTGGTTCGTCCCCCTAGCCCCCCCCCCCTGCGCCTGAGCCCCAGCTCCCCTGGGCCACTCCCCCTTGGGACCCCCCTCCGTCCAGGCTTCCCAGGGCAGCCCCTCTGGGCCTCGGAACCCTTCATTTTCGTCGTGGTTCGTGGTGGTTCGTCCCCGTCGACCCCCCCCTCTGAGCCTGAGCCCCAGCTCCCCTGGGTCATCCCCCCTGGGACCCCCCTCCGTCCAGGCTTCCCAGGGCAGCCCCGCTGGGCCGCGGAACCCTTTATTCCCCATATCCTAAGATGGGGTTCTTGTTATTACTTGGACGCCTCCTACTCCTCCTCCCTCCTCCTCTTTTCTCCTCCCCTCCTGGCGGACTTACTCATACTCACACTTGCTCATACTCAGACTCACTCATACACAGACTTACTCATACTCAGATGTACTCATACTCAGACCTACTCATACTCAGACTTACTCACACTCAGACATACTCATACACAGACTTACTCATACACAGACTTACTCACACCAAGACGTACTCGTACACAGACTCACTCATACCCAGACTTACTCATACACAGTATTAGTCATACTCAGACTTACTCATACCCATACGTACACATACACAGACTTTCTCATACACAGACCTACTCATACACAGACTTACTCATACACAGACTTACTCATACACAGACTTACTCATACTCAGGCATACTCATACTCAGACCTACTCATACTCAGACTTACTCAACACACATCAGATTTGGAGGATGTCTCAGGCGGGGCGCTGGTTTCAGCACCCCTAAGGGGAGCCGCCAGGGGTGATTGCACGGGCTCGTTCGCGGCCATTTTGTGGGGATGTCTCAGGCGGTTTGCCTGTTTCCGGGCTCAACATCCTTCGCTTGGAGAGCAGATTGTGAGGATGTCTCAGGCGGGGCGCTCGTTTCAGCACCCCTAAGGGGAGCCGCCAGGGGTGATTGCACGGGTTCGTTCGCGGCCATTTTGTGGGGATGTCTCAGGCGGTTTGCTTGTTTCTGGGCTCAACATCCTTCGCTTTCGGAGCAGATTTGGAGGATGTCTCGAGCGAGGCGCTCATTTTCACCCCCCAGGTGGGCCAGATTTTGAGGATGTCTCGATCGGTTTGCCTGTTTTGGTGGCCAGGCTCGTGGGCGCAGATTCTTCTCAGGATGCCACAGGAGGCTCCAACAGGCTCCAGGAGGCCCCAGGAGACCACATGAGGTCCCAGGAGGCATCAGGAGGCCACAGAAAGACTCAAGAGGCCACAGGACGTCCCAAGAGGGCCCAGGAGGCCCCAGGAAGCTCTAGAAGGCCTCAGGAAGCCACAGGAGGCCACAGGAGGCCACAGGAGGCGCCAGGAGGCCTCGGAAGGCAACAGGAGGCCCCGAGAGGCCCCAGGAGCAGGAGGCCTCAGAAGGCAACAGGAGTGGCTCCAATCCCATGTGTTTTACGTATGCTCCTATCGATTGGGCCTCACCTGGAATACGATTCCTTGACGTTATACGTATGTTTCTATACATTGTCCTTCTCCTGTGTAAGCAATCCTAATTGTTTTATTTTTGTTCCTATATATTGGGCCTCTCCTGGGGCACGAGTCCTTGGTGTTTTACGTGTGTTCCTGTAGACCCATATACAATATTACCTTTAAAAAAGGATGCACATATGGGGAGCTCCACGCAGTGAGTAATTTTCGTCGTGTCTTGCGGTGGTTCGTCCCCCTCGGCCCCCCTCCCTGAGCCTGAGCCTCCCCCTCGCCCCCCATGGGCAACCCCCCCTTGGGACCCCGCCTCCGTCCAGGCTTCCCAGGGCAGCCCTCCTTGGCCGCGGAACTCTTATTTTGGTCCAGGGCAGCCCCCCTGGGCCGCGGAACTTCTTATTTCATCGCTTCGCTCATTCCGCCGGCCCGTATTGTGCCATCGCAGGCGTTTGCTTGCGCGTTCGTGGCCTTTTGGAGCCTCGGTGGGGCCGTTTGGGGCCTCTTGGCGCCTCTTTTTAGGCCTCTTGGAGAACTCGGGAGGCCTCCAGGGGGCCTCCTGAGCTCTCGTGACGGTCTCTTGGGGGGCTTTCGGCGGGCTCTTGGCGGTATTTGTTGGTCCTCTTGGGGCCTGGGGCCTGACGTTGTTGGTCCTCTTGGGGCCTCACGGGAGCTTATTGGGGCGTCTTGGGGGTGTCTTGGAGAGTCTCTTGGGGCCTCTTTCGGGGTCCTGGGCGCCTTCTGGGGCGGAGGGCTCGATTTTTCAGTTCTCGGTTCCCTTCTTGAGCCCCTCTTGGGCCCGTCTTGGGGCCTCTTGGTCCGCCTTGGGCAGCACTTGGGCCGTCTGGGGGGCGCTCTTGGGCCGCTCCGGGGCCGTCTTGGGAGCCTCGTGGGCCGTCTTGGAGCAGTCTTGAAGGCCTCTTGGGCCCTCTTGGAGCGTCCGGAAGCGAAAAGGCCAGAACGCAAAAAAACATCGAAAAAACCAATGAAAATCAACGATTTTGGCAACTTGGGGCCCTCTTCGGAGGCCTCTTGGAAGGCCCTTGGAGCGTCTTGGAGGCCTCTTGGGCTGTCTTGGGGCCATCTGGGGCGTCTTCGGGCGATCTTTGGCCGTCTCGGGCCTCTCTTGGACCGTCTAGAAAGCTTCTCGGGGCCCTCTTGGACCGATCTGGAGCCCTCTTGGACTCCTAAACAGAACTCCGGCATCTCTGACCCGACCTTGCCGGGGACTTGCCGGGGACTTGCCGGGACCTTGCCGGGGTACTTTTCGCCCGGGGACCCCCAGGGGCCGCCCCGCGCGCGCGAACTAGAAATACTGTTAACCAGGTACCGGAGATCTTAGCACGCCCTGGCCCGTTGGGCCGGCGTATTTGAGTCGTGGCTCGTGGTGGTTCGTCCCCCTCGGCCCCCCCCCCTCTGAGCCTTGAGTCTCAGCTCCCCTGGGCCACCCCCCCTTGGGAGCCTTCCTCCGCCCAGGCTTCCCAGCTCCCCTGGGCCACCCCCCTTGGGACCCCCCCCTCCGTCCAGGCTTCCCAGTGCAGCTCCCCTGGGCCGCGGAACCCTCTATTTTCGTCGTGGCTCGTGGTGGTTCGTCCTCCTCGCCCCCCCCCCCCCTGAGCCTGAGCCCCAGCTCCTCTGGGCCACCCCCCTTGGGACCCCCCCTCCGTCCAGGCTTCCCAGGGCAGCCCTCGTCGTGGTTCGTGGTGAGCCTGAGCCCCAGCTCCCCTGGGCCACCCCCCCCTTGGGACCCCCCCTCCGTCCAGGCTTCCCAGGGCAGCCCGCCTCCTCCTCCCCTTCCTCCTCTTTCCCCTTCATTTTTGTGCAAGAGCCATGAACACGGGCCACTTGTTTCGGCGCGGCACCGCCCCCCTCTTCCCGCGCGCCCCCTCTGCGTCGCCCCAGCCACCAGCCAGCGCGCCCCCTCTGCCCCGACCCTTTCATTTCGGCACGGCACCGCCCCTCCATCCCGAGCACCCCCTCCATCGCCCCATCCACCAGCCAGTGCGCCCCCTCTGCCCTGACGCCTTCTTTCTGTGCAAGAACCAAGGCGCGAGTGCCACTTGTTTAATCCGCTACCGTGCCTGGGTTGTGGGTATGAAGCCCATTGGATGTTCGTTTGGATCTTGTGGGGGGCTTTTTGGGGGCCTCTTGGAGGCAGTGTGGGCGCTCCTTGGGGGCCCTTTTGGAGACTTTTTTTTTTGGTGGGGGGGGGGCTTGGGGGCCTCTTGGAGGCCTCTTGGGGGCCTGTTGGGGCGAACGGCTTGGATTTTCGATTCGTGTTCCCTCGTCGCTCAAGACTTTTACCGGGCATCGAACGCAACAGTGCGTCTTCCATTGCCGCGCTTGGCAGATTCAATCCGCCATGATGTCGGCAGACCAGAAGGCGTGTGCGATCGCCTTTGTGATGCTCACGAGTTCAATCCACGCCGTCGTTCTCCTCGCCCCGCGCAGCGCGCGCAGGCACCCACGCCTGCACGTACTCATGTGCATGAGCTGGGATGCGCGCGCTGTGGATATAACTGGTGCGAGGCGAATTGGGATTCTGGTAATGCAACGATTCGCTGGGACGAGTATTGCGGTTGCTGCTGCGGAACCCAAGAGCAGAAACTTTGTGCGAAAGCGTTCTGCTCGCCATCGCCGCCACTACCGACGTCGGCGCCGACCCGGGCACCGACGCCGGTGACTTCGCCAGCGCCGACGCCCGCACAATCGGCTCCGCCAACGCCAGCACTGACGCCCGCGCCGACGTCGGCGTTCTATTCCTATCTGCTCGTCGAGGTCGCGCGGTCGCCTGGTGATGCTCGCTCTGGGTGCCCAACTGGATACGAGTAGGCAATGCCAAAGTCAGATGCAGAGCAGGCGGATGTCTTTACCGTGATCCAGGGCTTTGGCACAGTGCTCGTATGGGCTGGCGCCCCAATGGCGAATGGAGAGTGAAAGTGTGACGTTGGATGTTCAATGGCGTCATATAACAATTGGGGTCGTGGAGAGGGGGTGATTCTAACCAGCCATGGTTGTGCGTATGGTCGTGGGGCGGCAGGTGTCTCGATTGCGTTGGGAGCAGTGATATTGTGTGCCAAACGAGAGTGACTCCCGCGCCAACGCCTGCGCCCACGCCTGCGCCAACAACAGCACCCACGCCAGCACCAACGCCAGTGCCTACGCCAGCGCCAACCCCAGCGCCTACGCCAGACCCTACGCCGGCGGCTGACCACATGGTGAAGGGGGCCTTTTGGAGCCAGGTGGGCAGGGCATCGATGGCGAAACCTCTGGCGATTGGAGTGGCTATTCGGTGTCGCTGAGCAGCGACGGCAGCCGCGTTGCCATTGGAGCATACAGGAACAAGTGGCGTGGTCACTTTCGCGGCTTCGGACTCTCGGGCATCACTTGGAGCCAGATGGGGCAGGACATCGATGTCGAAGCCTGAGGCGATGAATGTGGCCATACGGTGTCGCTGAGCAGCGACGGCAGCCGAGTGGCCATTCAAGCACGTCTTAATTTCGGTGCTGGGTCAGATTCTGGTCACGTTCGCGTCTTCGGGCTCTCGGGCAAGACTTGGAACCAGTTCGGGCAAGACATCGATGGCGAAGCCTTAGTCGATTGGAGTGGCTGGTCGGTGTAGCTGAGCAGGGACGGCAGTCGCGTGGCCATTGGAGCATGTCTCAGTGCTGGGTCAGATTTTGGTCGCGTTCGCGTCTTCGGGCTCCCGGGGCAACACTTGGAGCCAGATGGGGCAGGACATCGATGGCGAAGCCTGAGGCGATGAATGTGGCCATACGGTGTCGCTGAGCAGCGACGGCAGCCGCGTGGCCATTCGAGCACGTCTTAACTTCGGTGCTAGGTCAGATTCTGGTCACGTTCGCGTCATCAAGTTCCAGGCGACGCCCGGCCCGACGCCCAGCCCGACGCCCAGCCCGACATCCAGTCCGACATCCAGCCCGACATCCATTCCGACGCCGAGCCCGACGCCCAATCTGATGGCCAGCCCGACGGTCGCAGGGGTCGGCGACCCGCACCTCGTCAACACTTATGGCCAGAAGTTCGACTTGTTTCAGGCTGGGTACTATACGCTGATCAACATCCCAAGGTGGGCGCGGCAGCGGGCCAACTTCGTGCGGGCGAGGGCGGGTCGTGCTGGGGCTGGGTGCGCTGATTTGCATTTTACGGAGATCAACATCAGCGGCACGTGGGCTCACGGCCATATGGCGGCGGACTTTCGTTGGGTCGCCGAGGCCGTGAGGCTGGTCAAGTCACGGTGGATGAAGTTTGACAACAAGTTCCGTGTCAAGATCGCGCACGGTCACCGTCCAGAACGTGATGTATTTGAACATCTTCGTGGAGGGGTTGGACAAGACAAAGGGTCAGGTGGGCGGCCTCCTCGGGGAGGACGACCACACGGCGTCCACCACCTTGGACAAAGGGTGCAAGAAGCTGATGACTCTGTGAGTCGGGCGCCCCTGCAGGGTAGCTGAATTTGGTCCTCGCAAAGACCGAGCGTAGCTTCCGCTGATGAGGATAGCGTGCGGCCGCCCGGGATTGTCTCCCGCTTGTCATTTTGCCGTGTGTTCTGCGGACGGCGTTTAGCACAACGCTGGTCATGGAAAGGGTCGGCATTCCTGCTCTCTCCCTTTTGTAAGTACGCCTGCATCTACTGCGCCGTAGGCCGTAGGCAGCCGACGTGTCTCTTTCCCCCTCGCCATTCTGGTTATGTTCGCTTGTATCCTCCCTCCATCCTACCTTCCATACTCCTCTCTTTGCCATTGCGCTTTATTTTGTCAGCAGCGGGGAGTCTTCAGCGGGCTACTCGGTACGCCACTCGCGCACGGGCGTGTCCGGCTGGCAAGACCGTTTTCCGTTTTTATCTTGCGCTTGCATGCTGAGCGCGCGTTTGGCGTAGCTCGCAGTTTGCGCCCATTCGGCGCGTCGACTGCTTCGCCGTCTGGTAACTGACTTGCCCCCTGGTTGTCAGACAGTGCGGCAACACAATAAAGCATCCTGCTACCGTGCCTGGGTTGTGGGTGCGAAGTCTGTTGGATGTTCGTTCGGATCTCGTGGAAAGCTTCTTGGGGGCCTCTTTGGAAGCAGTTTGGACGCTTCTTGGGGGCCGTCTGGAGACTCTTAGGTTTTTTGGGGGTGCTGTGGGGCCTCTTGGGGCATCTTTGATGCCTCCTGGGCGCCTCTTGGGGCCTCCTGGGCGCCTCTTGGGGCCTTTTTGCAGCCTCTTGGGGTGGTAGGCTCGCATTTTCGATTCGTGTTCCCTCTTTTGGGCCCCTTTTAGAGCCGTCTCGGGGCTTTCTTTGGGGTCCCCTATGAGCCCCTTTGTGGCGCCTATTGGGTTGTCTTGGGGCCCTCTTTGGGGTTCTCTTGGACTCTTGGAGGCCTCTTGGGCAGTCTGGAGGCGGTCTGGGAGGCGTCCAGGGCCGTCTGGGAGCGTTGAGGCGAGCCAACATCTTTCAAACACCTGAGGGGAATCATTGAGTTTGGCCTCTTTGGGAGGCTTCTTGGAGGCCTCTTTGGGCATCTTGGAGGCCTCTTGGGCCGTCTGGCGGACATCTTTGGCGTCTTCGGGTGATCTCTCGAGCTCCGCGATGTTCTCCAGATCTTTCGGGGCATTGCAAACGTCCCAGAGGCCCATTCGGAACACCACTGGAGTGCCCAAGAGCGACTGGAAGCGCCCAGGAAATTAGCGGTCCAGGCCCTTGAAACTACAATCCTGGTTGCAGCAGCAACACCGCTGTGAGCCTTGGGGCATTCCACTTCGTGCCAGAGGCACGGCGGCGCGGATACGACGCGGGTTCGACGTGGATTCGACGCCGACTTGACGTGTCCCGCATGGATTCGAGACGGATTCGATGCGGACAGGGGTTCCACGGGGCAGGACAGGTCCCCCGAAGATGCAACTGGCTGTCTGGTGCACCATCCGCCCCTGCGCCGTCGACTCGCCGGACGGCGCGCTCGGTGCTTGGCGCCTTCCCCCCTCCGTCGATGTCGGTCCTCGGCCTCTCTGCGTTCCTCCCGTCTTCGCTTCCCCCGCTCGATCGCGCGGGTCAGCGCACGGTTGCTTCTGCCCGCTGTAGTTATCCGTGGTCTCGGTCGGCTTTCGTTGACTTCGCCGAGGTTCTGTCCTCCTGCCTGTCCTGTCTGACTTCGTTGACTGTCCTGTCCTCCTCCTGCCTGTCCTGTCCTCCTCCTGCCTGTTCGTTGACTTCGTTTACTCTGCCTGTCCTCCTCGTCGTCTCGCTCGTCTTCCTCCCTGGCGCCTGCACGCCACTCGGCCGTGCCACGCCTTCCGAGGTCTGCTCCTCGGTTCCTCCCGTCGTCTTACGTTCGACAACACGACGACGACGACGACGACGACGACGACGACGATGCCGACGCCGACGCCGACGACGACGACGACAACGATGACGACGACGACGACGACGACGACGACGACGACGACGACGACGACGACGACGACGACGACGACGACGACGTGACATCTGGCCGCTCAACTTTTTTCGATGCGTGGACCCCCGAGGTCTCCACCGCTTCCCTGCCCCAGGGGCCGGTTGTTCGTCCTGGGCTGTTTTCTGACGGCCCTGCGAGGGCTCCCAGGAGGCCAAGAACGGCCGAGCAACCCGCCGCTCCAATGTGATCGTTTTTATTCGTTGTTTTGCCGATCGCTGAGGCCCTCGCACTCCTCCCCCTCCCCCCCCTGGAGTGGATCTTGACTGTTTTCTGGGCGCCTGTTTCGAGCAGGTGGAGCCCCCCCCCCCATAATGGACGCCCTGTTGCAAACCGTCGCGCTAAGCAGGTCTGGAGCCAGACCCCCCCCCCCCAGTGCCGCCCACTGTCGAAACGCCAGATAAAAAAAAAGAAAGAAAAAAACAAACAAACAAAAAAAAAAACTCGGAGCGTCGGATTTCTGGGTCGTTGTGTCCCTCGATCCCTGGCCCTCCTGGGCCTCTTGGCGGCGGCCGTCGCCCGCCAGGCTGCCCAGCGCTGCTGCTGGACGCAGGCCGCGGCGCGGTGCTGCGACGGGCGGCCCCGCTGCTCGACCACGCCGCCCTTGCAGCGGAGGCCCCCCCCCCCCCCCCCTTGGAGTCGGCTGAGGGTCTTACACTGGTCCTCCTCCTTCTCCTCGTCCTCCTCCTCCTCCTCCTCGCCCTCCTTCTCCTCCTCCTGCTCCCCCTCCTCCTCCTGCTCCCCTCCTCTCCCTCGTCGTCCTCCTCCTCCTCCTCCTCCTCCTCCTCCTCCTCCTCCTCCTCCTCCTCCTCCCGCCCCCTCCTCCTCCCTCCTCCTCTAAGTTGGTCAGCACTGGTTTCGGCCGACAGGAAGGGGGGGGGCGAGGTTCGAGCATCTGGGTTCGAGGCCGTCAGGCGCCCCTCTCCCTGGGGTCGGCTGAGGGTCTGGATTGGCCAGCGCTGGCTTTGGCCAGCTGTCGGCGGTTCGTGTCGTGCCGACCGGCGGCGGCTCCAGCGTGTGTGGTTTTATGGTTGAGCGCCGCCGGTGGCCCAGAATCGGCCCGTCGTTGAACGATCCGGCGGTAACGGAACGGCCGATCGGTCAAGTTTGAACGATCTTTGCGGTGTCAGGAACCAGCGCCGGGGTCGACACGACGTGAACTTCCCGTATCCACTTGCTCAAACATTCTCCAACGGATTGTTCCTGGGTATCAGGGAGGGTTGAGTGTACACAAAACAGTTAGGATTGTGTACAGAGCACAAGCTACAAGTGCTGCATTGCGATTTTGCAGCGCTCACGCTTTCATTATTCCAATAATTCCGTTTCCATACCCTTTTCTTTCGATGGGGCGCCAGGGGTGCCAGTTGGGAAGACCCTCCAGCGCGACATTCGCCAGCGTTTGTTCAGCCCGCTCCACCAAATGGACGACGGGACGGACGACCTCGACTCTTTCGGCCCCCCGTCCGGAAGTACATTTGATTTCGTCGCCAACGGCCCCGAGCCATCCTGAAGAGGCATTTTCATCTTCAGGCTCCGTCACCGTCAGGGCGATCACCGACGCCATGGAAAACATCCTTGAAAAAGAAGCGGAAGGAGCGGCTCGACCTTATGACTAAGTCAGTCGAGTCGATCATCCAGTGGATGGACAAAGTGGAGCTGAATGTGAAGAGCAGCGTGGACGAGATGAGGAAGCGCATGGGCACGTTTGAGCAGTCCGGCGTATCCAAGGACATCCATCGCCAGGAACATATTGGATAATGACAACACTATCCACCATTTAGAAGAGCAGGTCGACCAGATGAAGATGTACTTCGATGGGACTGGCACCGCTCCACCATCGTGGAACAGTTCCCCGAGACAAACACCTACGGAGGAACGAAACATCACTGCGGTGGTCAATGGTTTCGCCGACATGCAGGAAGAGGGGGCAAAGGAGTGGATTCAAAATCAGTTTTTGGAACTTTGGTTACCTATGCCTACACTGGCGCATGCCAAGGGGGACCTCGCCGGCATCCTCATCCAGTCCACATGTTTCCAGACGCGCCTCCTGACGAATGGGTGCCACAATCATTTCTGTTTGCTCTCAAGCGTTGCTCCGTGGAGTGGGACTACGATGGAAAATGCGCGTGGGTTGACATTCCAAGCAAATCTTTGCACGTAGGTGGAGGGAGAGTGATCAATGCTGGAGTGGACGGCGCGGATCTCATCACAGATGTTGGGGAAGGTTGGGGAGATTTTCTTCGTTGCGAGAAGCTCGAGGACATGATGGGCGCGTGCAAGGAGAAGTTGAAGAGAAGCCTCGCGCCGAATAAAGGCAAAGGCATAGGCATGTGCAAGAGCAATGCAGGACGGGCCGTGGGCCCGGAATAGGGGCAACGCCGATCGAGTCAAGTGTCGCCCCTTCCACGGGATGGGGACTTGCATGGGTTCTGCAAGAGCGCGCAGCACAGTGGCCCGCGAAGACTTGCAGAGCTGATCGTTCAATTAACGGGTTTAGACTGGGACGTGCATATGTTCAGTGAAACCCGCGCGGAAAGTCAGACAGTGGAGTTGTTGGGTGGGCATATACATATAACGGCGCACCGGGTCCGGGGGCCCGGGGCCGGGACCTCGACCACAAATGTGGGCCCCGGGGGGCCCGGAGGCTCGTCGGACCGCCGGGCGCCGTCCAAGATCGTTCGCAGGCGGCTTCGGAACGCGCTCCGATGGCTCCAGATGCCTTCCAAGACGCCCGTCATGACACCAAGAAGGTCCCAGAAGCCTCCAAGACGCTCCGAGAGGCAGCCCAAGAGAGGCCCAATAAGCAAACATCGTGCCATTCCGATGAGGAAACGTATATTTGTTTCGCACGTTCGCCTCTTGGGCTTTCACCGCGTCCAAGACGGACCAACACGCGCCCAAGACGGTCTACGAGGCCTCCGGGAGCGCTCCAAGGCTGCGCACGAGTGGCCCAGGACGGCACCAAGACGGCCGAAGAGAGCCCCAATGCGAGTTCGAGAGGTGTCCCAGACGGAGAAAACCAACCTCGAATTCCGAGCTTCCGGCCCAAGAGGCTCCAGGAGGCGCCAAAATGCTGCCAAGAGGCGCCAAACGGCTCCCAAAATCAGCCCAAGACGTTCCGAGAGGCACCCCAAGAGAGGTCCAAGAAACAAAAATCGGGCAATTCCTACGGGAAAACGTATATTTTCGCATGTTCGCATCTTGGGCTTCCACCGCGTCCAAGACGGCCCACGAGGCCTCCAAGACGGCCTAGGAGGCCTCCGGGAGCGCTCCAAGGCTGCGCACGAGTGGCTCAGGACGGCCCCAAGACGGCCCAAGAGAACCCCAAGACGACTTCGAGAGGTGCCCCAGAAGGAGAAAGCCACTCTCGAATTCCGAGCTTCCGGCCCAACATATCACAGGAGGCGCCAAAACGCCGCCCATAGGCGCCAAAAGGCTCCCAACATCAGCCCAAGACGTTCCGAGAGGCACCCCAAGAGAGGTTCAAGAAACAAACATCGTGCCATTCCTATGGGAAAACGTATATTTTCGCATGTTCGCAT